AGTTAAGCAGGTTCCTTTTATTGCGTTGGTTTTCTTTAGAACTCTCACTTACATTACCTTGTACGGACGATACGCCTTGTCCTAACTCTAAGTTGCATGCTTACCTACCACCTGGAGCTGCTTTTCAAAATTATGGCGGTGTCCAAACCGACGACGAGGCTCGACTGTGCATTTGCGTCAGTCCCAACTCACATCCTTGCGTGTGCAGTGAGAATAATGCACAAGTTTTTTTTTAAAAAAATATTACGGAGTATTAAGCATGAAGTATGAGTAAAAACAGGAAGTTGAAGTTGTAGACTTGGCGTAATGCCGACAGGGAAGGCCACATGACGGATTGCGATAAGTTTGCGGTTTTTCTGTAATGAAGTTTCTCTTAAAATCACTGATAAATTTTCACTTAAACTTTTGGTTGGAATTAATGATCTACCGTGTCTTTACTTACCAATTACATGTAAAGTTTAATTAACTTACAGGCCTATACTTCTTTTACGTAATACAGTATTTACCACGTCGAAAATATTTAAATAAAAATCTTATTTAGAGACCACGTCGAAAATATTTAAATAAAAATTTTATTTAGAGACACAATATATTACGTTTCATACTGTGACCAATGAATGCTTTAAATGATTATTATAAAATTAATACACTCCTGTCGGCGTCATATGCAATGCACAGTTACAGGAAGCCGGTACGGGCAAAATTATATACTCCCAGTGCCAAGTTATGTCGGAATTTATACAGTAGTTTCACAGATGAAGCGTGGGGCATGTTAGATCAACCTAATTAATATAAAGGACATCATGATTACAGATCACCTATATCCCAGAACAGTAGGCAGAGACAGAATACACTAACACAAACTACGATATAGCACAGCAGATAGAGGCAGCATTGTTAGAACAGCCAGTTTAAAAAGAAGGTAACAACGTTTAAGCTCCTTTATATCCATACACATTCTCAAAGTTACAATAACATAAATAAAAGCAAAATAAAAATCAAATTTTAATACAGTTGTTATAATAGAGTGGTATTTACAGCTGAATAGATATCTGTAGTATGAGAGTTTTATAACTCACATAACAATGTGAAATGTATCTAAATATAAAATTTTAACTGTATACTTTTTTTTAAACCAAATTACTTATACAGGTAGAACCAGGACACATAACAATTATTATAAACACAACACAAATCTAATAGATATGTATTAATTATAACAAGTTTGTTCAGTTATAGGCAATTTTAAAGTAAATTGTCAAATTTTAAACATCTAAAATGTTTTAGCATTACTAGTTTTACACACGTAATTAATTTTAAAACAAAGGTTGGTTAGTAACACATTGCTGTTGATACATGTAACCAATAAATTTCAAACCTAATTAGTATCTACAGCTATGTTATTGTGTGGGTGGTTATGGTAAGTAACATAGTACTTACTGTAAAGATCTCCCCTTCAAGCGTCCTTTTCATGTACTTGAACACAAAATATGTAATAATGGCCATAAACTCTGCGATCGTCGCCTTGGCGCAGTGATTTACTATTATAACGTTATTTCTTTATGCATCTCTTTCCTTATAGTTAAGTCAAAAGTAACTGCTACACTGAAGATACAATGTATCATTTGACCCGTCAGAAAACATGCCATCTTACTCTTGATGTTATATAAAAGGAAAGCTTTGTGAAATTCCAATATGAAAAGTTTTTTAAAAATAGTTTTTAATCTTCTATGTTCTCGGCATGTAAAACACGTTTTTATTTCCTATAAACGTTTTTGCCGTCACAGTGGCCGCGTGGTCTGAGGCGTGGGCTTTGTGACGCTTGGTCACTGGGTCAGTGGGTTCGAATCCCACTCAAGGCATGGATGTTTGTCCGCGTCTCTCTGTGTTGTACTGTCCTGTGTACAGGTAGAGGCCTTGCGACGGGCTAATCACTCGTCCAAGGAGTCTTACCAACTGTCTAATAGATCAAAGCCAACGAAAGTTGAGACCCGCAGATGCTCAAGGCACTGAAGAACGGGTCGTCTAAGTATAGTAAGTATAAATGTTTTTAGTTTTTGGCTCTGTTAAACAAGAAACCTCTCGTCTGTTACATCTAGCTCTTCGTTATGTTTGTGAATTATAAGTTGTTGCTATCGAAATATTAATAGGAAGATATTTTAATACAAAATAAAACTGGTCTTCGATTGGAAAGTAAAAGTTTAAAAAAAGAGTTCAAAGACAATATTTATCCGTATCACTATTATGATTTCTAGGCCTTTTCGATCCGAGTAATGTTACGAAGATTTTATTTTGAAATTTGTTCATAAGATCTGTAAAGTATGAAGTTATTAAAACTTATCTCGTTTTAAAATGTATGCAACGTAGTTACAGAAGTGCCATAATGTATTTGTGGACGACCGAGGACTGTATTCGCTTTTGTCTGATATTCGTAACATGCTATGTTCTTATGAGACGGGACTTTCTTAGATAGAGACGAATTTTGAAGTTTTGATATATGTATATAACCCTTTTCCTGGGTTTTATTCTATAAAGTTTTTCGAATTAGGCCTATCATTTGTGTGTATCTCAAAGTGTATTTCTGATTGCCGATCCCCGTGACGAAGATTTACATTTATTGATATGCAGGTATAAAATCTTTTAAATCTGTGCAAAGTTTTTCTTGTTAGTATGGAACCATAACAATTGAATTAACATACAAATATTTTGTAAGAGACCCATTGATTTTGATTGTTAAACGATATCAAAGTGTTTTTCTTTGTGTTATCTGATTTCAGTTTTCTATATTTGAAAATGTTTGTGATGTATTAATGTTTCATGTAAGAATTTCTCGATTTAAGTTAGTCCCTTCAGAATTAAATTGCCAAAAATCTTCTTTCTCAGTTCAGCGTTTATACTCAACGTATCATTCGAAACTACTTAGCACCTGCTGTAATGAAAGCGTCGTTAAATAAACAAAAGAAAAACCTGTATCTGATGCGTTCTTATTTGTTGAGATGTCTCAGATTAGGACCTGGTGCGAGTTCGAAAAAAGTTCAAAATTTAATTTATTGTTCATACACCGATTTTTTTAGACTCAGAAATATAGTATACTCTTTTCACCATATATATGTGGTAATAAATTGAGCCTGTAACATTTGTTGGCAACGTTGATATGTTAACATTCAAGAAATATAAACTATATTTATTACAAACAGATCCAGGCAGATATTTAAGCAGTTTAAATTATATTGAAATACCTAAAAATACCTCTGCTGGGATTTAATGGTAGTTCTTGTGCGACAGTGTCATTTTCAAAGTCGCCTCCACGAATCATCCAGATACTCAGCGTCGACTGTCTATTGTTATATAATGTTTCGTCGAACTTGACAAATAGCGTCCTGATATTCTTTTCACTTCACTGACTGTACTGTGGCTCTTCTCCCATCCAATGTCGCAGTTCACGTGTTCCAGTTGCCGCTCTGTTGCGTCTCTTCCCCTCTTTCTCATCAATCAGGAAATTGCTGTATGCACATTACGAATTTATTGGTGTTCGATACTAAAATTGCGCTTAAAGCTCTGAGTGCCTATCTGTTTCGGAACAGATATTTGCGCTATTTTATGAATTGATTAATGTTTTTACAGTAAATATGCGACAGAAAATGTGAGATATGTCTCTTTTTCATCCTTACGTAATGACTTTCATAAGTCTGCTTCATTACATATATCACAAATATATTTGACCGCAAAAAATTATAGTTTTATAATTATTGTATTCATGCGATTTCTCTATATCGTCTTCTTTGTTTTCAAAAGGTTAAACACACGGTGGAATGTTTATGTAAACTATTTTAAATTAGATTAATTATCTCAGAGAAGAACGTTTAATGCCTTATTTTTTCTGTTCCGATTTGTAATACTGACTTGTTCATAAGGCCGCCTGAGTCAAATGTATGTATGTATGTTATTTTATATGGTGAAATACTTTTATGTCACTGCTTAGCAGAACAGTTAAATGCTCCTGGATATGGATTTTATAATACATTTATAATTTATCCCACTCGGTTTCAACAACAAGGAAAGTACATTTTAGGCGAGAAGCCAGAAAAGTAAAGATTATAATTGATTTGTATAAAGCTAAACTATTCGAGGTTTCCTCTTCTCTTGTTTCAAATTATGTTTCATTTGCTGGGTAAACATATTATTTGAATTTCTTCAGAAATATTATCTGGGCAGGTATTACAAGAATATTCATAAAAATATTTAACTTGACAAGTAACAGAAAAAGGAAACGTAGTCCACTATAGATTAATGCGCGTACACGTCGGATTACCAAAAGATGTTTGTGTCATTTAAAACGCTTTCTTCTATAGCAAACATCTACTCTTTACTTATTTCTCAGCAAAGTAATGTAGCCTACTTCTTGAGAAGTTACAGGTCGTTAGTTGGTCAGAAAATTCTGTTTTATGTAACCCAAAGATTCATTACCTTTTTCACACGAGCAAGGCATCTGGTCTTGTCCTGAATAATTTGAATCCTTGTCACGTCATTATACCCTTTTTGTTGAAGATCCGTTAAAATATTTTTTCATTATCTGTGCATTGATCTCACAAGTTGTCTCTTTTTCTCAGGTGTTCACATTAAAATTCTGAAGTTATTTCGTATATCCCTGTGCTTTAAAACTGAAAATATATTCCTAAATTTTGCCATAAGGCAATGCTCTTTGTCACAGGTCAAATAGAGAAAGTACAGGGCAGATTATTTATGAAGATGCAACTAAATCAGTGTATGAAGTAGGGGCATGTTCTGAACACAAAGGAGATATCTCTCTGTGTAGACGTACATTTTGGTGTAATTTGAGGTATACGATGTGTAGCAAAACGTACTAAATTACACAGTGGGATTCACGTCGCTTGTTATGCTTGCTGTGCTGTGATCAGTGGTACAAGATATTAAGTTCGTTTGCTCTCATGACAAAACCTGTAGTATGTTAGTATGTACGTGGTTACGTTCCTGACACGTCACATGCACAGTTTCTCATTGTGTCTGTATAGGGCATGCATCAACAAAGGTACAGATTTCGACGTGGTTTATGAAGTAAGTGATGATTATGGACCACTTCTTTCCTTACTTTTAAGAGCATCGAGCACGTTCATATTTTAAAATATTTATATTTGTAGCCAAGCTGAAAAAGTTGGCGTGTCTCTTGATATTAAACCCATCTAAAGTATTCAAGTATGAAATTTTGGCTAGAATTTAACCATATTTGTGGTATTCAGTTTTATTTAAATAACACGCCTAAATAGTTATTTATCTGTCATTTGAAACCGATATATATCCATAATAAAGATGAAGATGATTTCTTTCTGGGACATTGCCCTGTCTGCTAGAAGTTTATGGACTTATAGATGTACGTGCTGTGTACGTCATCATGAAGACGAATAAGCCACGTGCGGCTTGGTTTAAAGTCTAATGGGGATGAAAAGTAAAGCAACTCTTAGAATTAATTCGCGAGACTAGTATAGTAGTAAACTTGTAACATATTAAGTAAGTATATATCCATGCGTCGGGGCTAACTTACTATACAAAGTCATATTCTAAGAATCGTTTAAAATATGACAAAGTCTTAGTATTAATTGGAAACGACAATAAAGATTCGAAATTAGTATCATAATGGGATTATGGGAAGGTTACAATCCGTTATTACATTCCACTATTTACCTCAGAATCACCCATCGTTAAATGTCATGCCTACAAACATACAGTTAAAATATACTAGGCTGTACCTTCCCTGAAGTTTTTATGTAACTCGCTCGGGAGAAAGAATGTGGGTTGAGGGCATGTGATAACAAGTTGCTGAGGAAAATGTTTGGACCTAAGAGAGATGTGGTAGAAGAGATAAAAGCGATTTACATAATGAGAAAATTCATATATTATAATCTTTATTTAACACTCATGAAGATGAGGTAGGAGAGACGTGTTCCTTGCATAAAATAAATAAGGTCATTTTAAAGACAATGAGTAATGTGTGATACATTGGAGCATATTGGAGAAAAGTATCAAATTATGTTTTGGACAATCGAGGTGTTAACTGGAGCAGGCTTGGGTTGAAAGGTGAGAGTTTGTGAATACGGTGCTGAATCCTCAAGAGTCCATGATATCTGAAACACTTTACTATGTGAGTTACCGCGTGCTGTTCGTATATATAAGACGTTTTAAAGATCATACAAAAACGTAATTATTTCAGACGTTGGGAAATATATTAGATGAAAATTGCATATATTCTGAACCAGTAATATGTACATAATACTGAAAAACAAGCCCATTTACATCGAGTGGTTTACACATATATTATAACATGTCTCCCATACGCAGAAAGGTAGAAATGCCACATTACCGGGACGAGTAACAGATTTAATCATACTGAAAATATAAAATTGTCACATATTTATTAAATATGAATTATGTTGGGTAAATGGAAAAGGTAGTTTTAAGACAATCATTTGTTGAGGTACCTCCAAATCGTGTGTTATGTACCTATTATCTACTTTCTAACCCCACTGTGAACATCAGAAACATCGATTTGTGCAAATGACAGATACTATAGCCTGGAGGCTGTGGAGAAAGTCGTATCCCTCCCTCTAATCGTACCCCGTAGCTAGTCAGTTTATTGACAGCTTCCCTTCTCATACAGTAAACTGTTTTTCTGTTGAAGTTCTCTTACTCTTGTAATTTCGTATTGGAGGAAAACTGAGCTATGTAGTACTTTTCAGTGGATTACTGCAAAGATGGAACTTGCTATGTCAAACCACAAATGTCAGAACCGTCAGTTGATGTTTCTATAAACCACACTCGTATTATTAATTGCAAATCCGTTTATAGACCCAGAGGAGCATATTTTATATTGAATCATTTGTCTGAATTGGGTATCTTGGAACCGGTACGTGAGAGTCACTTAGAAACATGCTTGGTTAACACGTAGCCACTTGACAGCGTGAGAGGTAGTTTATCCCGGAGGCTCATAATACTTGAGCTCTAGATGGCGTTTACTTGGAACATTCATATAATGAAACACAAACATCAAACACTGTTAAATTCGAAATACTTTGAGACTAAATTTCCTACAACAATATATATTCGTAACAGCATTACTTAATTCCTACTTCATGCTAAATGTCTCGTCTAGAAACTTGTGAGGTTGTATTTAGAATCTGTGGCATAACTTCTATTCCATCGAATGCTAAATGTTACTTTCCTAGGGCCAACGTATTGCCAGTAACCATGAATTACGCGCAGGATATCTCTTGAATGTAAATATACAGTGGAAAGGTATCGGGTACTGTTAGTGGAAACCGTAAGGTTACAGCAAGTGAAGTGTAACATTCAAATGTGTTGTTATTAGAAATGGCCACCAATTACTGTCCTGTTAGCGTTAAATAAACTGTTTCACCTTATTACTACTTCATTACACTGCAAATTGTTCTTATTACGCTGCAAATTGTTCCGACTGTATGTTGCTATGCTACAGACGCCAAACTTTGTAGAAGAACTTAGAAAATTTAAGAACACATTAACAATTCTGGCGCTTTCGCGACAGATCTTATTAGGAATCGCTAATTTTTGGAGAATGCTTTCTCTCCTTATCTCCCACGAATATGTGCCGTCCTGTTTAGTTTATACCGTGACTTTCACTTCTGCTATGTCCGGAGATAGGGTCTAGCTCTATCGATTTGGGCCAACAGACTAGGTTTTACCTGAAGACGGAGATAGACTCCAATCTCCGAAACGTCGTGTTTTATTGGTTTTATTTGGTCTTGGATGATGGATAATGTCCAGAAAATAGTTTGCTTCAAAGTAGACACAGTTGAAGTTTTAACTCGGGAGATATAGAATTTTAATCTCAGCCGATTCACAGGCAGCATTTCTAAGACTCTTGATATGTTTACTCAATTATTTAAAGGTTGTATATGCTGAGACTTTGAACACACCTTTCTCTTCAGTTAAACAATTCAAAATGACGATTTACTTTTTAAATAGATTCTTACAAAATAATATGCGACCGAATATGTACCCCAGTTTTGAAAGGTTAAATTGGAAAGAAAGGAACTTTATTTTATTCTTCCGTCGATATTGGGTTTTTGGATGATAACTGCCTTTGAACTTGTAGGTAGATATCGACTTTTATGAGGAACATACTGAAGTGCGTTTAACTCCTGGAGATGGAGTCAGAAGGTTTATCAGAAATATAGGTATCTACCTTAAGCCCACGCTGCGTTTAACCCAGAAGACCAACATGAACGTGAGAACGTTAAATCTCACATGCAGAGTTGGGAGATTTGAGGATGGACGGCCTCCGAGGTGATAATATAACTCTCGGACTCGTGATTACGAAGCATCGTCAGTCACTCGTGATGCTGAGTTTAAAAATTGTAGAAAGCGTCAGATGAGACGAAGGGGCGGTTATGAATGTTAAGCAGAACTAGATCTAAAGGAACTCTGCTATTTAATACAGGTAGGCCCCGATTTACGCCGGGGTTACGTTCCACCTCAGGGTCGTTAGATCAAGCGGCGTAAATCGAGGAAGAATTATAATGTATTGTACTAGCGGACGAGAAGAAAGCAACTGACGCCGACGCTAGCGACGCCTAGGTACCCACTTCTTGTGCTGTGTTTACGCTTGCGTTTTCAAATTTTCTTCTTATATATTTTTTATTATTATTTTAAAAGTGCATTAATGTGAAACAGCGTAAAATAAAGCGTCGTAAAGAGGGGCCTACCTGTATTTGAAAACACTTGCCCAACCTGGAGGTTCCAACATTGCACCTCCCATGTGCAAAAAAGCAACACATTACCGCTCCTCTGATATATTTAGTAGTGTAGCATGGGACATAAAATTTATTAAATGTATTAAACCTTCAGTTTGTCATTAAGCTGTTATTGAATGAAAGATGAAATAAATTAATATCTATTCTTTTCCAGGTTTTTAGGAGATGAATCCCATGGCATCGTGTTCAGAAGCCACTTCCCACCCCTTCTTCCTACTAATAAGGTATGTAGTAATGAATAATGTTTGTATCCATGCAGATTTACAATAATGAGAAGTTCCCTGGCGCATAAAGTAGGGGCCAGTGTCCATTTCCATTGTGAGAGTACAGAAGCACAAAGAACTGCGTTGCAGCCATTACAGGTTGGGAGTGTTTACGTCCTAACTGGTTAAAATTTAAATCGTCCTTCCGGTCACACACTATACATTACCCCGTCAAGTTCTCTTAACAGCAGTATATTGCAATCATTTCAGTCCTCCAACTCCAACCTCCCCCCTAGTTTTACATTACTGGGCCGATCCCCATGGAGCATTCATTTAAAATTAATTCGGTAGGAAGTTTGCACAATAGAACGTAGCTAGGTTTTTAGCAGATACAGTAGTTGGAAGCTTCGTGTTAGACTGAGAAGGTCGTATTGATACAAAGATGTTTTTGCTCTCTGCAAGTCTTTGTTTTCAAGCCTAAGGAGCGGGTTCCCTGTGAACTATGAAAACCAGCATTGTTTCTAGTAGATAACAGGAGCTATCAGAAATACGTGTTTCATTGTTTTCTTCTAGAAGGATTTACGCGATTGCTTCTTGCTTTTTCGAGCTGATTGGCTTTTAAGGCAGTGAAGCCTTTTAGTGTTATACATGACGCTGAAGAAACATATGTGGAAATAGGAAATCGAAACCGTTTCATATAAGGGCTGTATATCTTAAGCGGATTTGGATTTTATTGTATCATGTTGATCTGGAATTTCTTACTAACTTCTGCAGAATGTATCTTCTGTTGAGACATGGGTGGACAGACTTACTACATGTGTATCGACATACCACTATACTATAAGTCATAATATCTACGTGTTTGCGTCGTAAGACATAAACCGGTTCCAAAGAAATTATTCTCTAAATTCATACCCTTTGTGAGTAATAGATGTAGCATATTGGAGCAGTAGTGTGTGGCAACAAAATAACACAGAGAGAAATTGCCTTTTTAGGTTTCGGACGCCTTGTAGTACGAATTTGTTCGTGACACTGAAGGACTTGAGTAATGTATCACTGCAAACCAGCTTTAATCCCATCTTCTCGTTCTTACTAACATGTGTCGTCAGCTTTATGTAGCCCAAGTGGTTTACAACGAGCTTTAATTTACATCCACCTACTTTCCTCTGAATCCATTAAGAGAGAGTAAATCAGGTTGAAATATGTGAGAAATTAAGTGGATGATTTATAAGAAACGACACCAATGTTTTAAGGCTTGAAAATGTATTAAGTATGTACGAGACGAATTTACTAATCTTAGAGATAATGTTAGGCTATTTAACATTTTATATTGCATCAAAAACGTACAGTAATTAATGCAAATTGACAGATCTGATGGTGTCTGACTATCAGTCGAAACATGCAGCTGAACACTTAACAGTAGTGTAAACACACGTAAAAACAATGTGCGCATAAAGTGACGAAGCTTCTTCGCACGAAAATGAATAACTGAGACCGCACCAGGATGCTATACTATAAAATATTTATGCAGAATGCCTCTTACCTCTTTGAATGAACAATGTTTAAGAATTAAGTTCCCACCATAAGCAAAACATAACGCATCGTGGTTATTACAACGTCAATTGGTTAATGCTGTTCAGAGAAATAATATATTTTTTTCTGAGAATCATACGAAAAATCATGAATAAGTTTACTTTCTGTGGGAAGAATGCAGAGTTAACGAATGTTATACAAGCAGTACACATAGTTACAATTGTTTTAAACGCGTTAAGAAGAATTTGCCATAATTTTGCCACAACTAAGTTAGTCTCTTCTGGTTTGAATCAGTATTCACGCCGTACATGCGATTGCCAACGAGAATAATCAAAGGGAGTTAAGATGGATCAGCAAAATAGCACACATAAGAAGGAACAGTACATACAGAAACTTATTTTGAAACTTCTTACTAAATTTCTTCGATACGTTGTATTTGTGTAAATAATTAAACTTTTAACTGACTTCGGATAAAGTATAAACTAAATAAAGTAGTAATACTATAGCCGAAGATATTTGGAGAAAACTACTTCAGTATAACTCTTGCTCTTATATTAACTACTGGACAATGAAGACGGTGTAAACTACATGGTGTTAGTGACTGTGTCCTAAGTAATTGTGTACTGTAATTAACATTGTAGGAAGAAGGAAAGTGCACTTTGAATTAATTTATATCACTGTCCGATTGTTTCAACCAACAGGATAGCTTGCACAAGATTTCGACATCTTTATCGTCATCCTTTACTGTGACATTAAGGAATACTTAAACTTAAGTAATAACTGAAATGCTTAGAAATTGAGGAGAACAACAATTGACTTATATTGAAGTTTAACAGAACCGTTCATATAAAGAATTCACGCACTTATAGGTCTGTAAATTTTTGTATTTAGGTTCTGAGAAATAAGGGAAGATAAACATTGGAGATCTGTATGTTGTTAAACGTTTAAGCTGCTCTTTATTTATAGATGTAATACAATTTGGAAGCTTACAGTGATTACACAGTAATACCAGCATTGTATAGCTCAATAAACGGTTTACTCTCGGTGGAAAACTATAACATGACAACAAACATAAATCCGTTTAGGCGCAGGCAATAATACTTTAGTGTGAAGTATTAGGATCGTACACGTTATATTATCTATATTCTATCACGCTATCAAGGAAGAAGCATAATTAACTCAATACTGAACTAGTTTCACTTAGACTTATTCAGGAGCATATTATGTTAATATGTACCTAATATGATTCCATTATATTTTTACACATATCAAAAATTTATTGTCTTTAGGATGGGACCATTAAATGAAGTGTGAATATTTAAAGAGTTTCTAGTTTTAAAAAAATATGTTGGTATATTTAATTCACTATCACTGTGTTAGACTTATTTAAAAACATTAATTTAATTTAGTATCTAAATTTTGTTAGAATCGTGCATAATATTTGCGTCTATCACTTTGCTGACATTTTTTAATCGTTGTGGTCAAGCAGCTTGTCTGAAAATTGATGTCGCATCTACACGCAGATATATCTATTTTCATCGCTTCCAGTTTAACGTAGCAGGTAGCGAAACATTTATATTTGTAATGTTTTACCAAGGCTGTAAAATATTAGGTACAATGAATGTAACACATCTTTTTTCCGAATTTGAAGGATGTAAATTTGGTTCTTGGCCGTGAAAAGGTTATATAGATTGAGGCTTCTCTTGGTACTACCCATCATCATCAGAGAATTTAGGCGTAATTTAGTGGGATAACATCTTAAAATAGGCCACGACAGTTTCTTTTTTGCATCTTTAGAATACATCACGCATATCATTTTCATTGAGCACAAAGGGAGTTCTCAGTGTTAAAGCATCATTAAATAAATCAGCAGGTATATGTTAGAGGCAATGTTAAGCCTAACTTTTCTAATAATCAGCAAGAGGTGTTATATAAGGGGCACAGCTGTGCAATTCTAGCCTGGAGTCTGGAGCGTAACAACTCTGCTCCCTTGAATCTCGTATGGAACTGTAAAACAAAATAAAATTATTCAGAACAAATTGCTTGGAAAGAAATTTGAAGAGTTACGCAGTTTCATTCAGAAATAAGATTATTTAAAGATGGATGTCTTCTGCATTGTAGAGTCAGGGCAATGATCGCCCTGATGATAAAGGCGTGAAGTACGCCTGGAAAGTCGGTAAGCTTCTACCAGATTACACAATACAATGCAGAAGACACATACCTTCACGCTCGCTGTCGTGAGAACCTAAAATTGTATTTAATAATATTCTTCCTAAAAAACTTGTTTTAGCCGTGCTTGTTAGTAATATAAGGAGGGTACTATTCGTGATAAAGTAAATGAATTGTGGTTACAAAGTTAATTTTATTACACATAATTCTAATCTTTTTGGAATATTTAATATATTTTAACTACATATGTCAGACATTTATCTGGAGTATTATTTATTATTTAGTGTTCTGTCTGACGACAGGTCCATATGAACAGGATCCTTCCATCCTTTTCTCGGACTGGGACCTGTTCATATACGTTCTTGGCAGATGATCCAGAAGTGGTTTGCCATTGCCTTCTTCTGTGTGTGAATGGAGTAATTGTTGGGATGCCACGGAGAAACCGGGGAAGCCCCCGGAGGAAAACTCCGTGTTGCCTAGACCGCGTCCTTGCCCAACACAAGTTCTAAATTCGGGCACCGCCGGGAATCGAACCCGAGACCCCAGGATTACAAGGCCAGCGTTCTAATCGCGTGTATCTGTAGTGTCTCATAAAAATGTTAAAACCGTCAATCAGGATTGATGGTCTATTAGCAGGAACTTGAACACGGTACTCCCGAATTGGGAGGGTTATGATGCAAATGCATCATAACACTGGATAATTCTCAACGATTGGCGAAAGCCGAAGATACACATTGAACTCCAGCCGCGAAATCGAAAGGAAAAGATTTATGAGACCACAATTTACATTGTTATGTTCTACTGATTTCTATTGGTTTTTGAATAAAATGACTGTTACTATCATGTGACAATCGTATGTATAGGTCTGTAATACATAAGGAGTCAGTCAACAAAAGGTGATGAAAACATATTACATAATTACTAAACGCTGTTTATTACAGAAGATTATTAAATTGATATTAGAACAGTAAAATCTAACTTAATGCACTATATCGGCTTCGTAAATAATAAATGTCTGTTGACCTTTATGATAAATTCTTTACTCATTATTTTGTCTCATCGCGTTTAAAATGCGCTTAGGTTTATCTTCAGACGTCTGACATTCTCCTACGAACCTGTCTGTTTCAAATGGTTATTATCATTCGCTCATAATTTTAGAGAGCCCATTTACCTCTCTGCACATTGTACTTACCCACTCCTTCTCTGGAGTATTTAATTGCACAGTAGTGGTTTTCCGCAGTCCTCTGTGTTCTTACTCCAGGAGCAGGATCCATAAGTCTACACTTGAGGAAACAAAACTGGAGTTCGCGTGTTTTTCA